GTCTTGTGCCGCCATATTACTATATCATTGTGGGACAGACATTGTATATATGTTAAAGTCAAATAAGCATTGGCTTTAAAATTGAATTTAAACCGGCTTAATAAAGATAAAATGACATTTTAATGATTATTCATTGTTACAAATGTTACAAGTCGGACAAAGTATCAAATGCAACAAAGACGTAATGTACCTTTTTATCATTATAAGTAAACATTTTGCATTGATTTAACAATTTACTAAGGCAAAAGGTTGTATTTATCTTGTAAATAAAGTAAATGGACAGTATTGTGTTTCACCTTATTTACATCATAATCATTTCTAAGTTTCTCACTGTATTGAATTACAAAGGAAACAAGTAAGTATGACATCAGCATTCCATTAAGTTTTGATACAATCTTCATGTTTACATCGTCATCGTATGTTTAAACACCATAATAGATGATGTTTCTTGGTCAAATGAGTTAGTATGATGAACTGTATATCTCTTTGTCATAATCGGTCAAAAACCTCGGATAAACCCTTGTTATTATGTATTATATGTTTTCATATGACAGAGATGTAATGACCTTAAAAGGTTGTATGTAACCTCTTTGCTTGATTGCAGTTGTATGTGCCATCCTTTTCAGATAGCTTTCATTTTAAAGGATTCAGAAATATTATGCATTAAAAATGATGTCGTGTATATCTAATTTGAACAAAAGATTTAATGATAAAGAAAGTAAAAATGATATTTGCATGGTTAAAAGTTTGTGACGGATACTTTGTAAGAACATTTACAACATGAAAAAATACAGTAGACGTCATATGGCGACATCCGCTGAACATGTTGTGGAGGAAAGCCTCAAGTGCTCTTTCCCTCGTGCATTATTTCAGGCACGAACGTGCTCATTAGTTGAACCTCCGTGAAAATATATTGTTTGTTTTGGGTTTTACGTCACATCGACACAGTATAGGTCATATCGCGACGTTCCAGCTTTACTGGTGGAGGAAGACCTCAGGTGCCCTTCCATGCATTATTTCGGGCACGAACGGGCATCTGAGTAGAACCACCGACGTTCCGTAAGCTAGATGGATAGCTTCCTCACATGAAAGAATATAAAGTCCCTGTCGGGATTCGAACCCACAGCGGACAGACGCCCACAATATATTGTAAAAGATTTCAATCGACAAGCATGGCGTCTATAATATCTATATACATTGCCAACACAAATTCAAATAATAAACAAAGCTCAACACACGGGAAGAAAGGCGGCTATGTCAACAACATATTGATTTTATTTCCCTTAGTCCATTATATTCCTTGGTCTCTATTTGACATTAATATTTATTTCACGATTGTTAGTTTTCTGCAACAGTGTTTCAAAATCTATATATAACGAACTCGTTTCATAATAATCTTAAAACATTCAGATACAATTGTTATATTATCTTTTTTCTATAAAACTTACAGCTTTATGTTAAGGTAAGCTTTATTTTCTCTATTATTCGTGAACATCGCGAGTTCATAGTAATCGTAAATAAATGTTAGTGCCGGATTCACATTACAAACGAAAATTTGCTATGAAGCCAATTTTTACCGCATAATGATTAAACCGTTATTTTAAATATAATTACCGCTTCTTTCAATGTTGAAAATAACTTAAAACATAGTGTTCTTTATAACCCTAGGTTTATAGTATTAAACATATCTCAGTTTCACAACTGTTTAACAATTTTCAGTTTCAATTTGTAATAATCCAGCCATAACCGAGTCAGCTTCACATCAAAGCTCGATATTCCAAAAAAAAAAAAAGAAGAAGAACAAAACGAATATCGAGTTGAATATTGAGCTGAATGTCATAAATTGATAAATGATAGACATTGATAAATCAAATGTCGAGCCGTATGTTTGATGTCCCGCCAACTTTAGAGATTTAGAAATATTTTATTTATTCAATGCAATACAATATCATAATTTTTGATAGTGAGTGTCCGTGCATGAATTGATTTGAATATATTTGTTAAGATTCGTGCACGGATACCGATTTTGATTTGACATATATTGTACATACATGTTAGTGTAAAAAACTTATTTAATATCCAAGATGAGTACTATTTTATAAACTGAAAAACAAAGAAACTAATGGACAAGATTTCATTTACGTAGCAATTTTTTTAATAATCTTTAATGTACAGAATTTTGTAACTTTGATAAAGTGGTATCAAAAAAGCTATGTTAGAAAAAGTTAAATCTAGAACAATGCAAAGTTTTATTGCAAAGTGGAATGTTAATGTTACATCTGAAAGAAGTAGAAGCGGGGTAGGTGGCAACAAACTGCGCATATATAGGCAGTTTAAGCTGAGGAATATTGCTAAATCATACTACTGCGCTGCCATAGGTCCGCTTTTGCCAAACTCAGATGAGGAACTGCACCACGACAAATAGAGACAGGTGGATATGAACGCCTTCCAGTAAATGAAAGGTTTTGACTCTTGTAATGACAAGGTAACAAAATGAATTTCACGCTGTATTGGAATGTTTTATGTATGGAAATATTCGTGTAAAATTATTTAAAAAAGTGAGTGTCAAAAACCCACAATTTCACACAATGACAGTTATGGAGAAGTTTATTTTATATTCTCAAATGCGAGTTGCGTACGTTATATTGCCAAAACCTGCTTGGACATACTTAAGACGGGAAATTCCCTTTACAAATAAGAATACAAAAATTACTCCTTTTTATGGTTTGTCGTTTTATATGTTTTTTATCTGACTTTAAAAATGTACATTGTATACATATATAAAAGAATAACAGACAAATGTTTTTACTGGAATGTTGGTTTAGAGATAAATGTTTTATCAACAATAAGACTGTGGTCTCTTGCACATATCGAATATTGTTACTAACTTTTTTAAAAAGTGAATATTATTTGATAGTTTATATAGTCTTAGATAAATTTAATTGGACAGTATAAAGTTTTATGGTGAAAACAGTCTTCGGAAATTTTATTTTACAGGACATTAGTGTGAATATATTGATGTTATGTCTTTTAAATACAACATAACCCTTTAATGAATAATAATATTCATGTGGAAGTTGTGTAGCTAGGGGATGTATTTTATGTTAGTGTTTTGTGTTTTATGTATACATGTAAATATGAGACTTAAATAATAAATAAATAAATAGATAAATAAATAAATAAAGCAACAATCTTTATTTTTACATGACAAGCGACGTAGGTCTCAAGCACTACTAGATTTTCAAGTCACACCATCATATATTTTTTTCGAAACCAAAACAATAACATGTGTCACATGGATATATATCAATAATTATTCGAGAAAAACAACACATGCTACCGTCGCTAATATCTGACTAGACTGACTAGATAGCACATGTCATCCTATACTTCATCAATATCAACATATAATCTTTATTATTGTTACTTAAACGGCCTTCGGATTAAATATGTTAGTTTTAGATAAATAGTTTCATATATAATTTTCAAATAAAATAAATTAAGGTGGAAAATGAAAGTTAATGTTTAAATATATAAACAAGAAGGAAACCCCTAAATCTACTGGTCGAGCAGTAATAGAGGTTAAAGACACAAAAATGCCATGTTTTATGCGACATTATATTTGTTATAACATACCCACTTGTAATTCTGTTGGCTATTCTTTGTTTGTGTTGTATATCTGTCACATAGACATTTAATAGTACATATTCGTGAAAAACAACTTATGTTACCTATGAAAATGAATTTAATTTTATAGAAATTATTCGTGAAAAACAACTTATGTTACCGATGGAAAATGAATTTAATTAAATAGTAATTTTTCGTGAAAAACAAGTTATGTTACCGATGGAAAATGAATGACATACTTTCATGTGTCCTCTATGATAATAATATTACATGCGATATTCTGCTGACAGGTTCTAGTGCAATGCATCAATACTTCTAGTTTGCCGCCCCTCCCCATATTACCATGTTATTACCTGATCACTCACTTGGGATAACCATACACAGAATCTTATGATTACCATGTACACTCATTCGGTACAGACACTTACAATTTAGAGTAACCACTATATACAACTTTGTTTATAATCGGACAACCAGTCTATACTAAGACTCCTACTTTGTACAATTATATACACATTTGGTCAATCATTATTAAAATCTAATACACAATTGGTAAACAATTATGTTCACACTCGACCAATCACACTGTACAATCATGTACACACTCGATCAATCACACTGTACAATCATATACACAACCAATCAGTGACACTGCAAAATCATGTACACACTTTACCAATCACACTGTACAATCATGTACACACACTCCAAGTCACACTGTACAATCATGTACACAATCGACCAGTCACACTGTACAATCATGTGTAACACTGTACAATCATGTACACATACGACCAGTCACAAAGTACAATCATGAAAACATACAATCAATCACACGGTACAATCATGTAAACAACTGACCAGTCACACTTTACAATCATGTACACATACGACCAGTCACACTGTACAATCATGTACACAATCGACCAGTCACACTGTACAATCATGTAAATACACGACTAATCCCTGTACAATGTTGTACACACTCGACCATTCACAATGTACAATCATACACACACAACCAGTCGCACTGTACAATCAGGCACATACCGGACCAATCAGTGTACAATCACATACTCAACCAATCACAATGTACAGCTATTCTTTTGCAATCAGATTTGGTCTAGTACCTTTTTACATAGGGTGTCGGATATATGCATTTCAGACAATTATGGCATATTTCATATTCTGACCACCTATACTGTGTAAAATTTTAAACATAATTATCTATTTTCTGTTAAGTCAAAACATTTTTATTTGATATTTACAAAGAGACTCTGTAGCAATTATCAATATTTTCTAATATCAAATTTGAGCGTAGTATATTTTTTAACTTGTCAGATATTGAGTTTTGTGTGTATGTCCGTAAACAGGGTTGTTTATTTGTTAGATTTCAAATGACACCTACGCTTTGTCTGACTTTATATTGTATAAAATAAGACACTTGGTGTGAATTCTCTTCATTGGACAAGTGATTTGTCAAGGATAAGAGAAAATCTAAGGTAAGTTTTATAATATTTATTTTGTCGTTCATTCCGAGGAAAATTTGTTCTTGTATTGAAGTTGTTTAACGATTGTTATTTATGACATTGTTCATGTTTGAATCTAACTAGCCTTGTGGTAATTGTTGTTTGGTCAGCCTTGTGGTAATTGTTGTTTGGTCAGCCTTGTGGTAATTGTTGTTTGGTCAGCCTTGTGGTAATTGTTGTTTGGTCAGAAATGGTATTCATGTTTGTGGGATTAAATTGATGTAACTATTCCGCTTAGTAATATCTTGCTTACACATTTTCTATTAATCAGCATCAAAACAGTTATAACATTTACCAAGTTATTTTACAATCATCTTTATACGTTTTGGGTGACCTTATATTTACAATGTTCTAGTTAGTGAGACCAAAACATTTATTTCACTATTATATTTTATATAAATAGTTTGCGCTTGATCTTTCTTAAGAAAATAAACATTGTTCTTACGCCCTTTAGTTACATTTCAAGGAATCATTAGGCTTTAATTATTATTTGGCTATTTTGTTATCAATAACAGGATAAACTACGTCTGAAGAAGTAGATTATTTCTAACAATTTCAATGCATTGCTATTTCTGTTCTTTGAGGTTTCGTTTTAATCACACATAGAATTTATAAAACAAAGTGTGGATTATCAAGCTTTTGAACATAAACTTCACAGAAGTGTTTTTAAAATACCAGTTTACTTACCATATGTATAGTATCTCGAGCTTCTGTCCAAACTCATCTTGTCAAAAGTCGTGAAATGTCACATGACTGTAAGTAAGATATCAAACGACGATCTTGTTAAAGAAAAATTGATACACGGAACTTATTACTTTTACATTCGTACTGGAAATTATAAACTGCGATTTTCCACCGCATTAATCGCAACGTAATATACAAAAACTAACGTGCTTCATTCTACAATAACGCTTTTGTTATATCTTCCAGGACCGATTTGCACAAAACATTCAGCAAATTTAATAATAGATACAATAATTATCCGTTCGTGAACTTCGATCAACTGGACTTGTATATATTGTTGCTCATAAGTTATCCAATTGTCAAATGTGTTATCTATTTGTTAATTTTTATTGACATATAAAAATTGGAGAAAGCGTTTACCAGTGGTTACAAAAGACAACATTTTTATAATAAAGTAATAGATTTTGAAAAAAGCTCTTAAAAACAATCCCGTGTTGTATTTAAATTTTCTTCACTATTGATAAATGAAACTGACAGAAAATCAATCCGAAAGGCAAAAATATCTAGGGATAGAAATGCAAAATAACTTAATGGGTAGTAAGTGACCAAGAATTATTCAGCATCATCTGTTGTCTTTTTAAGTTGAAAATAACGATACCAATCCTAACTGGAATAATACTTTACTTAACAAAATGATGCATTCAATACAGTTTCTTACGGTAAAGTATACCTGATGTTTATTTATTTAAGTAACATTATTTTTTTCTAACGTTAAAATAGTTTTTATGATACAAACCGTTACTTATTTGGTAGTTCAAAGTAACACTTATTGGTCAAAGCCCCCCGCCCCCCCCTTGATAGTTTGTAGTCAAATGAAATTTTATTTGAAATACAGCCTATGAAAGATAAATGTACGTTAACATGTTTCATGTTTTGAGACGGAAAATAACAATACCGCGATATAAAAATGTAAAAGTATGTGTATAGAGAATAGAAAATCACATTATAAATGTAGTGTAAATAAATACAAGCCATTTATACCTCAGATCGTAGCGTGTTTAACAGCGGTCGTTAATGCAACTCCATTGAAGTCATTGTCAACTATTAACGAAGCATGTATTGATGATGCGGATGTAAGTAATTTATTAAACATTCATTTCCAAACATAATTATATCGGTCCACTCTTGTTTTTTTCGATCACTGTATGATTAAGTAAAAAGTAATACGATAATGTAAGAAGAAGTACAATTCAATCTCAACTCAAACCAATTATCAATCATTTGTTTATTTTTTATCTACTTTTTTTATATACGTATTAATATAAAAAATTTATTTTAGTGTAATGGAACAAGTTTATGCCTACGACCTGGCTTTCAAAGGCCGACACGACAAGCACAGAAATATTGTTATCAATGTAAGAACAAACTGTTTTACTAATTAAAATGACGTTGTATACTAATCAACTCTGAATGTGATAGGAATATAAACTTCCTTAATTGACATGTCTGTCTTGAACTTACTCAAGTTTGTTTTATCTGCATCGTTGTATTTAAAGGAAGTTCCTTCACAAAATATATATCTTGTAATATTTCTAGCATAAAAATGTAAAACATCTACGTTAAGTAAAAAAATTCTAATTAAGACAATTCTTTTTCCTTACCTTTATTTGTTGGACTTGTTTATTTGATTGTTTTTTACGTCGCATCGACACAATTAGGTCATATGGCGACGTTCAAGCTTTACTGGTGGAGGAAGACTTCCGGTGACCTTCCGTGCATTAATTTAGGCACGGATGGGTACCTGAGTAGAACCACCGACGTATCATAAACTAGCTGTATAGCTTCTTCACATTAAATAAACCAAAGTCCCTGTTTGGACTGTCAGTAATTTTTTATTGACAATGCTTTTTGTTTTTGATAGGCAATTGCACAATGTTTGAACAATGTAAACTGATTTGTGGTATAGAAAACGAACGATTGATCTATTGTGACTGCGCTGGATCAGGATTCACGGGAAAATTGTGTGAAACAAGTAAAAATATTTGACTTTTACATAGAATTCCTTCTCCGATGAAAATTGACTTTGTTACATACCAGTATAACAAATTCAAGAACTAAAACACCCATGCATATTTACTTAAAGTCATATATATTCATATCGTCGACTTTGGTATGTAGTTGTTGTCTCTACTAAAGCGTACTGTCTTAAATGTTTTGATAGAAAGAAAAACGCTAACACTAATGATATGTTGAAGTATAAATTGAGCCGCGTCACGACAAAACCAACATAGTGGGTTTGCGACCAGCATGAATCCAGACCAGCCTGCGCATCCGCGCAGTCTGATCAGGATCCATGCTGTTCGCTGTCAGTTCCTCCACTTGTAATAGAGTTGATAAGCGAACAGCATGGGTCCTGCTCAGACTGCGCGGACGCGAAGGCTGGTCTGGATCCATGCTGGTCGCAAACCATTTATGTTGGTTTTGTCATGACGCGGCTCAATTGTTCTTTGGTCTAGATTTCAACACTTTTTTTTATAATATTTTATTGATAAAGTCCTGGGTATAAATGAATGCATTGACACTTTCATAGATATTGACGACTGTGATGACAGTTATTGTTTAAATGGCGGTACGTGTGTTGATGGAGTGAAGAATTACACATGCTCTTGTCCACTTGGTTACACAGGCAGACATTGTGAAATTAGTGAGTCTTATTTCAAACTTAAATGAACGATACACTTGAACGTTTTAAAATGAATTTTGATTAGATTTTGAAAAAGTGTTTACCAAGAAATTGCGGGAATCAAGTGCTCTTGCAGCTCTAGCGCCCAATACTAGCAACATTATTAATATATCGTCAACATTGTCTTATAGTTGTTGTTGACTATGTGAAGCGAGCTGTCTAAAAGAAATAATGACATGTTGAATTATAAACTAAATAACACTTTTTTTATGATATTCTCTACGTTAAAGATTTGGGTATAAATGAATGCAATTACACTTTTATAGATATTGACGACTGTGACGAAAGTAATTGTTTAAATGGCGGTACATGTGATGATGGAGTGAATAATTATACATGTGCTTGCCCATCGAGTTATACAGGCAGAAATTGTGAAATATGTGAGTCTTTTTTCAAACTTTATTGAAAATTATTCCCTAAAGATTGTCATTGACTTTGAATGGGTTTTGAAATGGATTTTTTATCAAGAAATTGTGTTTTTAATTCAAAACTGTATAATAGCTCCAGATTAAGAAGAAAAATGAGAACAATGAGAGAGACCTTTATTAGATATTGTATTATAACAAACCTTTCTTGCAGACATTGACATACAAAATCACCTGTCTGTCAACAGTCACCAGAAAAATGACAATCTAATATATCAAGAAGAATATGTTATGTAAATTTGTAAAATATGAAGATTTTTTAAATCTTTTTCTTTTTATTAGAAAACAAAACAGTACAACTGTTTCATACCATCCATATCTTGGCAGATGATTCATTCAAGATATGGATGCATTCATTTCATATCATCTGTAAAATATATTTAACAATTCTTTTATGACAGATTTTTAAATCACCAGTAAACATTAACTTATTGAACACATGTATGTTTGTTTTGAACATTTTTGTATTATTTCTTTAAGCGCTGTTTGAAACATGCAACGAGAACGGTAAGTAAAATGCACATTTAGTGTGTATATAAATAATTAAAACTGTATTTGAAAGACAAAGATTTTGGTTAAACCTATTATGAAATTTTTGCTCAGAAAGAATTGAAACTTTTGTTGTAAAGGCGCAACTACATTGCATTAATCAATACTTACCCATTCCTTTATTCTATCTATGATCAGCTCATCAGTATATATTTGTAAGATGAGCATTCGACCTTCTTTAGTGCAGTTACGTCAACACGCACGCACACACACACACACACACGCACACACACACTTATATTCGGTAATTGCGTAACTTAATGACTTTTCTATCGTATTTATTTCTGATATATATGACAGGCTTTATCTTTTCCAAGTATTAGAAACATGTTTATTTTAGCTCGATTATATTAATCACTTTCGAGTCCTCTTCCTGGAACTAACCAGCCATAGTGTCAAATAAGGCAACATGATCGTAACCCGAGTAGGGCTCGAACCAATGATTCATCGGTTGAGTGGCAGATACCTTAACCACTAGTTCACCGCTCTCGGTAATATTTGTCCATTTAAGTGGTTATACCTTCTATGGCGATTTCAATAAATGATTTGTTTATTGTAACTCGATGTCAATTTCATTTGTTAAAAAAACTTTATGTATTTAGATGAAGCTGGTGAAGTTCATGGAAGCGCCACACCACAATGCATTACCTCATCAGGGTACCCTCTCTTATGGTACAGTAATAACCTTGAATTAACTTGGAACATATTTTGTCCGGCTGGACAGAGAGTCCGAGTATTTTTTCTTGACTTTGTTGTAGAAAGATATTATGACGATGTCCGCTTATCAAATGGTAAGTATGTCAATTATATTTAATGTTTTGTTGGTCTGACTTTTTACTCTAGTTACTGTATGTGTTCATCTAAATTTTAACGTTGTTCTAATAGATCAAAGCTCATTGACATTCTTTAATTTCTAAATTAAACATCATGTAATTTCTTCTACACATGTTCATATATATATACTTAAATGGTTGTGTATGGTTATCTTTCAGGTGAATGCACAGGTTCTAATTGTCCAAATGACATCCTTATCTTATCTGGAAATGCTGATCCAACATACGAGTTCATCGATAATGCTAATTTTTATTATATACAAGAAACATATGATGCCATACAAGTATCGTATTTCTCTAATGGCAATGTTCTAACCATGGTTTTTAACTCGGATTCTAGCGAAAATGGAAAAGGCTTCAAGGCGGAGTACAACTGCGTGCCGTAGTAATGCAAGACAGTGTAAATAATATATGAGGGAAATATTCACAGATTTGTGTGAATCGCTTGTACTTACTTTTTTGTTATGATTAATGCTTCCGAGGGATTACACTTTTTTCCAGATTTTATATAAAGTTTAACATGTCTGTTTTAAATGAACATTTTTGGGGATTTATGTACGATTGGATGCTTCTATATAAATGTACTGTAATGTGATTAATTTATACTTATATGTATTGTATAACTGGGATACGTATGTATTTCTTACATATAAAGTGGTTGTTTTAGTATGTTTGAGTTGTGTTTTATTTGTTTTGTGTTAGATGTATGTTCTTCCTGCATCGTCATACCATTTTATGTCCTCATTGAGCAAATTTCCTTGTGTACAACGCAATCCATTTACGTATATAATATAATATAACCGTTTTGGAAAAATCCCTGAATATCACATGTGTGCAAAGCACTTTATGTACATGTAGACCATCAATAAAAATGCCATGATAATCAATATATATATACATGGGATGTTATATTCATTGTCCCTCATGTACAGACTCAATCAAACCGAGTCTGCAATTCTCTTGTAATTTTGTTGTGAGGGATCACTTTGTTTCCAGATTTTTATACTTCACAACAGCAGGTGTCAAGTGCTGTGTGGCAGCTGTAAAAAGTTGCCCCGTACTTCATTTCAGTGTTGTTATATTTTTCTGGTCCTTCAAGATCATTGATGCCAGCACTATTAAGTGTTGAGAATTGAGTACCGCTCAAGTCGGTGCTAGGGCGCGTGAGGGATGTTGCACGTATTCATTATCACTCATGCACAGACTCAATTAAACCGAGTCTGCAATTCTCTTGTAATTTTGTTGTGATAAATGCTTCCGAGGGATCACTTTTTTCCAGATTTTTTGTTTGAAGTCAACAACATTAACCACTCGGCCACGGACGCCCCTATACAAAGTTTGGTGATCATCCATCTATAAGTTCAGTAGAAGATGTTAAAAGGTTTTTTTTCTATTTTTAGCTCTAATGGCCCCTTAAAGGTGCCACTCAAATTAATATAAACATATTTTAATAAAACACTACTAAAGAATGCTACATACAAAGTTTGGTGATCATCCATCACATAGTTCAGTAAAAGATGTTTACAGGTTTTTTTCCATTTTTAGCTCTAGAGGCCCCTAAAAGGAGTCTAATGAAAGTAATATGAGCAAACTTATTCTCTCTAGCTATTCTTAATCTTATTCTCTCTATTCTTATTTCTCTCTATTTGATATAAGACTATCGAAGAATGCTAAAAAGTTTGGTGATCATCCATCAATTGGTTCAGTAGATGATGTTTAAAGCGGCATGCCTCCAGAATCATGATAATTTTCATAAAAAAATAAAAATGTTTTAAAAGTAAAATACCATGAAGTGAACAAAGAAATTAATTTACACATTGCAATCGGTACTTAAAATAAACAATTTGGCCAAAATATGCAAAAAATAGCCATTTCTTAGTTAGTCATGAAGTATTTTGGCTCATCTGGAGGTGTGCAGTTTTAAACGTTTTTCTATTTTAGCTCTAAAATAAAGAAAATGAGAATCGCTGAAGAAATTCCAAAGCGGCAAAATTAAAAATGTTGCAGACTCGGTTTTATTGAGTCTGTTAATGGACGGTACTGTAAAGTGCAAACTACCATCCACGTCCCTAAGCAGAATTCAACATTCAAACATGAAAATGGCAAAATTTTGAATTTAGAAACAACCTTCAATGTGACACTTACGTGCCATGCCAAGATAAGAGGGCCCTGGATCGCTATCCTGAGATATAGGTCAAAAAGTCAAAGTGGATAGCTTACTCTGAACAATTGTTGTACACTGTCACCAAGGAAATGTTTTTGTAAAACAATTTTTAAAATTGAACCAGTGGTTTACATGTTGTTAAGATGAACATGTTTCATGCCAAACATCTAAACTCTACCTCTTTTAGATTTTCTCAAGAATATTTTTTAAAGTTTTTACTATATACATAATTATAAGGAAAATGAATGATTCCTGAGGTCGGGCCAATTTCGACTCTAGGGCTTTTATTAGAACAAACACACTTGGCAGACATCCACTAGAATATGTTTTATGCTAAATATCTAAGCTCTAGCTCTTTTTGATTTAAACAAGAAAACTTTTAAGATTTTACTATATACATGTTTATATAAGGAAAATCAACGACCCCCGGGGCGGGGCCAATTTTTACCTTAGGGCTTTAATTTGAACAAACTTGGTACACATCCGCTACAAGATGTTTCAATGAAAATGACAAAATTTATTTGCTTTTTGGCCTCCAGCCCATGCAAAATATAATACACAACATATATACAGAGCATAGTAAGTGCATAACAATTAACATATTAACCATTTAATACAACAAATTATTATTAATATTGTTATTTATAGATATATTGTTGCAACATTTATCATATTATATATTTTGCAGATATTGTTTTCTTTTTTCATATGCATAATACAAAAAAACAGCGACAGATTTAATAAGATATTCATTTGTGGTTGACATAATAATGTTAAACTTATTCAAGTTTGGTTGCATGTAATATTTCTTTGGCAGGTAATTATTGCGTAAATCATCATAACAGTCACATACAAGTAAGAAATGATATTGATTTTCAATACTGTTTTTATCACACACTTTGCAAATTCGTTCATTTCTTGGGGTATGCGTATATCTTCCCCTTTCTACTTCAATATCCAGACTGCCAATTCTAAAGTTTGTGTATATGAATCGAATTTTTTTCAAATCCAAAACATTTAAATAATGCTCAAAAGAAAAACCATTTTTAAACAATTTGTAACTTTCTAACTTGGAATTATCGTCAACATTCATGTTCAACTCTTGAAGGCTTATATCTTTCACTCTATTTACAAAAACATTTAAAAATACATTTTCATTTTGTACACCTTGGTTTAGCCACACATAACCAAATCCGTATCTTTCTAAACAGTTTTCCACTGATGTAACCCAATTGACATAACCATTTGAGATATCATTAAGCATCATTATATAACATCTATTTTACAATTCTTTCGTTAGGCATCTTTATAATTTTCAACCAATATCTTATAGCTCTTTTGAAAGTCTTAATATATAATGGATACCGAGCGCAGTCACCTAAAACAGCACAATATGATGATTTTTGTTTTGCGCACATAAACCGTTTACAAGCATAATATTGTACCCGTTCAAATTCATCAAATTTATTTAGACCCCAAATTTCAGATCCATATAATAGTTGAGGACAAATTTTATTATCAAAAATTTAAAAAAGACAGTATTTGTTAACTGACCATGATGATACAATGAATTTAAAATAGATATCAATACATGCTTTGCTTTTACACACAGTTCGTGGACCATAGAATTCAGAGACAATTTTTGTGTCAGCATAAAACCTACGTAACAAAAATTGTAAACAACTTCTAATCTTGTGTTTCTATAAAACCACTTTTCATTCTTGAAAACAACAATTTTCGTTTTGGCTTCGTTTACCTTGACCTTATTATCAGTACAAAATTTTTAATAAAACGTTTAATTGTTTCTTTAGACCAACTACAGTGTCGAACATTAAGGCTACATCATCAGCTAACATTAACATGTATAAATGTAGTATATCAGGATGAAGCTGTATGTCTTGTACATTACTCTTAGACAATAATCGTTCTAGTTCGTCAATAAAAAAAAAAAAAAAAAAAAAAAAAAAAAAACATAACAAAATCGGACTTGCCCAAATAGCCCTGCTTCAAGCCCAGAGTACTGTTAACTTAATCAGTTTTTGAGCCATTACAACGTAAATATGCCTCAACACCTTCATACATACCCTGGAGTGATTTTATATATTTCCTTTGATACCTTTCTGTTTTAATATATCCCACAAAAGCTGTCTATTAATAGTGTCAAAGCACTTTTGGAAATCGACAAAAGCAACATACAATTTTCGTCTTTTGTTTCTTAACATACGATCAACAATTGATTTTAATATAAATGCTTTATTTATCGTTGAGCAGTCAGCCTTAAAACCTGACTGATTTTCAGAAATTTTCTTAAACATTCATGCAAAGAAATTGAGTCTGTTAACAAGGATACAACAATATATTTTGCTTATAACATTTTGTAGAGAAATGCCTCTATAATTTTCGAAATTATTTACATCACCTTTCTTACGTATTGTAACGATGACTGATTCACACCAAGCTGATGGGAACTCACCAGAGGCAACTATCCTATTAAATAACCTTATTAGAATAGGTGTTATGATGTCAATACTACATAAAAAGAATTCAGGTATAATCTGGTCCAGGCTTTTTCCCTTGTTTCAAGTGTCTAATAGCAAGATGAACTTCATCCTCTGTTATAGTAGAATTAAAGATATGATGTTCAATTTCAGAATCTGGTTCTTAAACAGTTATATCTATTGAAATGGGTTGAACATTATTTTTATCAGCAATACAAGGATTTAAAAGACCCTCAAAATAATGTATCCATTGAATAGTACTTATATCATTTGTCACTTGACTTTTATGCCAAATATGTAAGCTCTAGGTTTTTTGGATTTTCTGATGAACATTTTTTTAGTTTTTACTTTATACATATAAGGGAAATCAATATCCACTGGACGGGGCCAATTTGGACCCTAGGGTTTTTATTTGAACAAACGTGGTAGACATCCACTAGAAGATGTTTTATGCAAATATCTAAGCTCTAGCTTATTTGGATTGTCACAAGAAGATTTTTAAAGATTTTACTAAATACATATAAGGAAAATCAATGACCCCTGGGGCGGGGCCATTTTTAACCCTATGGCATTTTATTTGAACAAACTCAGTAGACATCCACTAGAAGATGTGTTATGTCTAATAGCTAAGCTCTAGCTCTTTTGGATTGTCACAAAAATATTTTTAAAGTATTTACTATATACATATACGGATAATCAATGACCCCTGGGTCGGGGCCAATTTTGAACCTAAGGCTTTTATTTGAACAAACCTGGAATACTTCTATTAGAAAATATGTCATGCCAAATATCTAAGCTCTAACTCTTTCGGTTTTTTAGGATTTTTAGTAAAATAATCTTTCGGTTGCTTTGGCAACCAAAGTTCTTTATGGAATTCAATTCTTTTAACAACCTTGGTAGAGCTTTTATGCAAGGAACATCCCTGTAGAGTTTCAACAAATTTTGCCAAGTGGTTTAGGAGAAGAAGTAGTTTAAAGAAATCGTTA